ATAAGAAATATACATATTAAATAATTGTTGTTACCATATTTCTTTTACGTATTTATTATATTTATTCATTATACGCTCATGATTATACTGTCATTTATTGTCAGGAATTATTGAGCAACTAGGTCCACTGATCAACATTGTTGCTGATTAACGAGGTCTACCAACTTATAGACTGATGAGCCACGTGCTTGTGGTGATCTCTTGTCTGACCGGACATCCACTTGCTCGGACATTCGCTTATTGGGACACCTATGTGCCTGTACCCAACTCGATGACCCTACAGATAGTCCCAACTCGATGCCCCTACGTATGGCCCCGATTCAAAGACCCGACTTGCGGACCCGATCCGCGGATCCGACACATAGACCCAATATGTGAACCCGACAAGCAGACCCGAGTCATGTCGAGAATCAACTCATACTGAGTGCATGTCGACATAAAGTAGATACTTGCAATAAGGAATACCACGAGCCGAGCCGCCTCGCAGCGAGCATAGCCTCTAGCCGAGCCGCCTTGCAATGAGCATCGCCTCCAGCCGAGCAAATGCCTCACCGCGAGCATAGCCTCTAGCCGAGCAGCCTCGCAACGAGCATCGCCTCCAGCCGAGCAGTCTCGTAACGTGTGATACCTTTAGCCGAGTATTGCTTTATGTTGAGCATTACCTTAGGTTGAGTACTGGTTCAAGACATCTGGCCAATTCGGCCCGTACATGGATTGGATTTGAATTCTCCAGCCAAAAGACTCTCTTGACTGAAGACTTGGGGGACTACTGTTGGTACCACACATAATGGGCCTCAGACTTTGATACATTGGGCCTCATTACCCAGCTCATATGATTATGTAAAAGGAGGAGCCCCTTATTCTATAAAAGGGGACTCCTTCCCCCCCCTCACAAATGGGACTCAGTGAACCCAACAAAGGGCAATACCCTCACAAATACAACAACACTCTCCTTCATTTCTCAGAGAAATACAATACAATCAGTGTGGACGTAGCCCAAACATTGGGGTGAACCACGATAACTCTTGTGTTATTTACATTTCATGCAGATTCACGGTCGGATTTACGTTGTTCCAAGACATTCCGGTTTTGTGCATCAACATTTGGCGCCGTCTGTGGGAATCGACACGAAAAGTTACATCGGTTCTCTTTCAATCTTTCATCACACCACCGTGAAACCTTCACAATCTTCCCCGTGTATCTGCAAAAAGAACCCAGAAAAAACCCATCAAACCATCATCTCATTTTCATCAGATCTCTGCGTCTCTCTGTGAGTGCACCGACACTCTCCCGTTTTTCCCAACAAAAATCACAACTTGGCGGGTTCTAGCAAATAGGCGTTGGGCCATATTAGACACAGAACCTGCACACTGAACACTAAGAGCCAGAGAGTCCTTAACAGCCAACTCATCAGACCGTTTGGAAAGTAGTCTGTTATCTTTGGGAGTGAAAAGGTTCCTGGCCACCACTGCAGCGGTCATATCATTCTTCATCACAGAATCCCCAACGGTAAGAGGACCAGTATGGGATATGAAGGATGGGCGCCATATGTTGTCTGGAGAAGGCGTGGCTGTCTCTTCTCCAAGGTTCAAGTCAAAACGACGGTCGGAGGGTCCAGACATTTTCAAATGTGTTTGAAGAAGGAAGAGGTCAGACAAATCAAGATCTTAGAAGTGCAAGAAATGAGCTTCTACTGGTAGAGATTCAAGTGTGCTGTGGAACTTAATGCCAGCCTCTATAAAAATCTGCACTCGACGGAGCTTCAGAAATCGAAGAGCCGTTTGCTTTCTCAAAAGCTGGGCTGCTCAGAGACCACGAGGGCCGATCTCAGAAATCGAAGAGGCGTTTGCTTTCTCAAAAGCTGGGCTGCTCAGAGACCACGAGGGCCGATCTCAGAAATCGAAGAAGCACCTGCTTTTTCAGCCTCGTCAGCACATGTCACATGCACACTCAGCTTTGCGGAAATTACGGGCAATCTGTCGAAGATTTCTGGTGAAGTAGAAAGCACGTGAATCTTACTGTTCAATCACCGCTCTCCATATGCACCATCAACTCCTCGGGTACCACATATAACTTTGTCAAAGATCTCTGACAAAGTTTAGGCACGAGAATTTCGAAGTTCCAGCTACCCTACTATTACCCATAAGGGTAAAGGAACAGCACCACTGCTTGACAACTGGAAAGTCCCTATGTGTGTCGACCTCCGTGTTTTGCGGCAAGACAGGTTGGCAAGAACGTCCAACCTTTACTCACATTCGAGAAAAGACTCCCAACATAATTACTTTCTAAAAAACCGGAGTAGCACTGCTTTCCGAATCTCGAGAGTCAGATCCTCGACGGGATTGCTTGTTCGAAAACCGAAGAGGCACAACTCTCAGAACTTCGAAAGCCAGATTTCCTTAGATAAAGCTTGTCTGTAATCTTCACACGTAACATCAGCTTTCCAGATACCACATACCACTTTTTCAAAGTGCTCTGACAAAATTAAAACACGTGAAGCTGGCAGCTCCCACTACATTGCTGTGACCAAGAAGGGTAAAGGAATAGCATTACTACTTGTTATTGGGAAATCCCTATATACATTGACCTCTCTCCTCAACGGACAGGCAAACCTGCAAAAATGCTCAACCCTTTCTCGCATTCGAGAAGGCACCCTCAACATAACCTCTCGAAATACTCAGCTTTATTTCCCCCCGATAATACCTCAGCAAATAAGCCACACCAAGAACAAGAGTATCTCATATCATCAGGGTCGAAAGCAAGAGTATCCCATATCATGCTTTCTCCCTGTCTTTGTCTTTGTCCTTGTCCACACCTGCAGGACAAGGAGAAAGAGAGCAGTCAGTCGGAACCTGAAATCAAACCTCCAATTTGGAACTGACTGCCTGGAGCCTTTGCCTGGTTGCTTACTTAGCATTGCTCTCGAGTACTCATCCTCAACTGCTGTCAAGGTCACGAATTCCACCGGTAAATACCTCATGACAGTTGACAAATATTGATCAAAATATTGGCTCTTTACACTGAAGCTGCCAAGCGTGGATGAGTCACTATGAAGGAATGTTCTGAAGGACCATTTAAATGCAAAGGTTGCACACCACTTCTGCCATGCAAAAGATTGAAGCAGAAGGTTCAACGGTGAGCTGAAACAGATCACTACAGCACGACACCTTTCCATACCACATTCATTATTCCATCAACAGCAAAAGTATCTCATATCATCAAGGTCGAACGTACTCTAGATTTGATGGACTTGTTTTGACCCTCAAATTCTTGAGTCGGCCTTATACTCTGAAGGGCACCAGAAAACCCTCCAGCACAGTTCAAGAATAAGCCTGTGGAAAGTTACTTCTTCAAAAGCAAAAGTATCTCATATCATCTCTTATCCATTTGCTTCTCCTTATCCTGGCAGTTGAATGAGAGACAAGGAGAAGGAGAACAATCAACCGGAAGCCGAAGTCAAACCTCTGATCCTGGGTTGCTTACTTGGAAGTTTGACTGCTTACCTTGTCTGTCACCTCTTTCGGCAGATCTCCTAGCTCGGCGACTTGAGGGACTCATACTATAGGGTTTGTATCGCACTTGACCAAGCCCGAAACTACAAGTAAGCTTCAAGTGAAATTGATACATTACCTTGTGCATCTTCATCGGTTAAAGATACCACCCCTGGATGGAGGAAACGTACTTCCAGAGAAGATGCCACATCTACCTATGAGAAAGATAAGGCAAGTGAAGACGATACCACACCTCGGTACTTAGAAGTTTCGTGATTACTCAGCGGCTTGGATCTTGCAAGTCCCCAACCGAGGAGCTTCCCTCACTCGGGAACTTAGGGAAGCACTGTTTGTACCATACTTGACTAATCCCGAAACTACTGAGCACCGGTCAACGTTATACCGTCAAGGACCCAGAAGAGTTTCCCTTCAACCAGAAGGCCAATCACAATGCGACACGTGTCGACATCAGAAGCCAATCACAGCACGACACGTGTCAACATCAGAAGCCAATCACAACACGACATGTGTCAATATTAGAACAAAACTAGAAACTCTCTTCTATAAATAGAGATCATTCTCCCATAATAATCTCTAATGTCATTTTGTACTAAACTATTCACTAGAACTCACTAAACCAGAGCTTGAACCTATGTATTTGTGTAAACCCTTCACAATTAATGAGAACTCCTCTACTCCGTAGACGTAGCCAATCTGGGTGAACCACGTACATCCTGTGTTTGCTTCTCTGTCTCTATTCATTTACGTACTTATCCTCACTAGTGACCGAAGCAACCAAGCGAAGGTCACAAAACCTGACACTTTCTGTTGTACCAAAGTCTTCGCTGATTTTGTGCATCAACAACCTCAACCATAGAATACAAGTTGGATGGATGAAGTGGAAGAGTGCATCTGGTGTGTTGTGTGACCGCCGTATGTCACTGAAGCTCAAGGGAAAATTTTATAGGATGACAATAAGGCCAGCGATGCTGTATGGCACGGAATGTTGGGCGGTGAAGCATCAACACGTACAAAAAATAGGTGTAGCGGAGATGAGGATGCTTCGTTGGATATGTGGGCACACGAGAAATGATAAGATTAGGAATAAGGATATCCGAGGTAAAGTAGGAGTACCCGAAATTGAAGGAAAGATGAGAGAAAATCGATTACGGTGGTTTGGACATGTGCAAGGAAGACCTACTGACGCTTCGGTTAGAAGATGCGACCACGGGATAGAGGTCCAAGGCCAAAGGGTAGAGGAAGACCTAGGAAAACTTTGGAAGAGACTCTAAGAAAAGACTCAGAGTACTTGGATCTAACGGAGGACATGACACATAATTGAGCTCAATGACGTTCTAGAATTCATATAGCCGACCCCACTTAGTGGGAAAATGCTTTGTTGTTGTTGTTGTACAAACGTCACAATAACAAAAGAGTAATGCTACATTTATCATCTAATTGTGGTATACGAGAAGTCTTTCTCCTTCATTTATTTGAGTTTTGCAAATTTTTCAAATGATGTGGCTGTTCACATCAGATACTACCTAAGATGATATAGAAATATAGTATAAAAATATAGTACGAATAACATTAACATTACTCATAATAAATTAATTGAATTTTCAACAAATTATAATTATCCGACTAGAATGGACTTCCTCCTTCCCAAAAAAACCTGCAAAACCCCATCCGACCCACCCGCCACGAGCGTGCACTGCTCCTCACCAACTTGCCGCCAGCACACGCTACTTACAAACGCGCCCAAGTCCTCACCGCACCCACCGCTATTACTACTTCCTGCACCCACCTCCCCAAACCCGTGCACCCAAATGGGCTCGCCCCACCTCTTATCGTACACGAAAACCCGGTTATTTTCCGACCCGCACCCGATTAGCTCCCCATTTCTCCACACCGATAACCCCACAAAGCTCCGACTATTGGCGTGCCCCTTGTACGTCCGAATCGCCCGCGAATCCTCCGTGTCCCACAGCTTCAAACACCCGTCCGTGCCAGCTGTTACCACCGTACGCCCGTTAAGAAACCGCACGTACGTCACGGTTTTCCTGTGTCCGTCGAAGACCGAAACCGGGCTCACCATTTTCCGAACATCGTAGCCGTAGGCCTTCCGGTCCGCGCATCCAACGGCCAGAAGGGCCCCGCCGAAGGGATCAAACTCCACGCAACAGACCGGATTTCGAGCGTCGCTGGGCTGCACACTGGCCACGCAATTGCCGCCCTCGTGGCGCGGGTCCCACAGCTGGAGGGTCCCGTCGTCGGAGGCAGACGCTCCGAGAACCGGATCGGAATGCGAATAATCCACGCTCCAGACCCTGCGCCCGCCGTGCTCGTCGCGCTCGAAGATGGGTAGTTTTGTTTCGAGGTCGTATTCCGTGACGACGCCATCATAGTCGCCGGAGGCCAGGACCCGGCCGTCGGATCCGGGGCGCCAGCGGAGGCTGCTGAGCTTGGCGGGAGTGCAAATGGTGTAGTCGCATGCATCGACGTGGTCTATCAAATCCGCCATACTATCACTAGAACTTCCACAGATTTGATTATCATAATTGGGTAAGAGAGATTTCAAGCTGTAACCTCTTATTTTTCTGGCGATTCCGCCGGTGGCTAAGACGGTGTTTGATGGGTCGAACTCGATTACGCCAAGGGTGTTGGACGCGGCGCCGCGGCAGGCAGTGGAGGACACAACTGTTGAGAGACTGAAATCCCAGTCACAATTGTTGAACTCTGATCCTTTTCCTTCTTCTTCTTGTAGCTTATCTTCTTCTGTGCTTTCTCTTTCTTCTTCTGAAATTCTTTGTTGGGCTGGGAAATGGAATCCTGAGGAGAAGTTGTTCATTTTCCATTCATTATCAATCGGAGTGGTGGTAGGGATGTTTAATTTTTGGCTGCCATAACCATATACCAGTGGTGAAGAGGATGTGGATAATTTCACTTTTCTATCTACGTCTTGTTATCAACATGTCAGCTTGTTTCGTAGAATCAATTCTTCATGTCTTCTCAAATTACTACAATGCCATTATATTCCCAACTAACCGTTGTGTGTGTATCTATTTGTGTGTGTATCTATAGTATAGTATAGGGGTTGCTATCCACATATTCATTTTTACTTTTAACACACACACTCTCAATTTTCGTCTTTCCTAGGCAAGACTCCACGTCGATCTCTCCCAGCCTTCTCCCACTCCCATCCAACAACTTGTTCTTGGTGGGACTCTTCGACGACGCCACACCACCACCACCACCTGCAGGAGAAAAAAACCTTGAAATCAAAATTTCAATACATACGCCTTGTTGCCGCCATCTTTCACCAACAAGGCCTTCTTGTTGAGCCCAAAATGGGTAAGGGCGTGACGAGGATCTGTGTCGGATGAATTGAGGGTTGAATTTGATCGGTTTTGATGTTTTCTTCCTTTGGGTTTGAAATCTTTTTGCGTTTTGATTAATTTGATGGGTTACTATCTCCTTTTGGTTTATGATATGAATGTGGAGCAAAAAATAATTCCAAAAATTCTAGAGGCGACACGTGAACTTTTATTAAAGAATGACAAGATTGCCCTCAATGAATGGGCATGCTTCTCATATGCTCCCACACGCAGCTTACATCCCTGAAGGTCTTAGCAGCTGAATACGACTGTCCACAGCTCACCTGCCTATGGCAAAGAATTAAAGATAAGGATTAATTACCCAAATTCTATCTTTAATACATTCTCAATTGAAGATTGATTTCAATCAAGTAAGTAATCATAATTTAAATCAATTAGGGATAATTACACTATTATCTCAAGATATTATTTTCTATTTAATATTTTGGGAATATTTAGAGAATATCTCTCCATTAAACACTATGGTCGGCCCTATCCCTATCCCTATAAATACCTCATATTCTACCAAATTTTCAGAGTTTTTACAACCCTAAAAAAGCCCTAAACACTTTACTCTCTCCGATAAACAAACTTAGGCATCGAAGATCCGTTGACCTAACCCCCCCACCTCGTGGGCGCGTGAAGCTTAGATCTTTGATCAAATGTGTTGATTGTTTTGCAGGTACATTTTCGTCAAGACTGAAGACGGTGGAAATTTGCATCGACAATGAAATTTGTAGTTTTTTTTTAAGAATTAATTTTATGGGTCGAGAGAGACTCCATGAAATGTGAAAATGATGATGGGAAGAAAAAGAAAACCAGGAAACAGACACACGCAATGCAGTGTTTGAATAGAAATGTAAAGACAGAACCAGGAAACGGACATTGCATTGCAGTGTCTAAATCAAAATGTAAAAAAAAAAAAAAAAAGGGAAAATGACACTACATTGTAGTTTATGAATCAAAATGTTAAAAAAAAAAGGGAAACATACATTACATTGCAATGTCTGAATCAAAATGTAAAAAAGAAAAAAAAAAAGAAAAAGGAAACAAACATTGTGTTGTAGTTTCTGAATCAGAATGTGTAAAAAAAAAACAAAAAAAAAGGAAAATGGAAAAATAAATAGTCACTCAAAGAATGAAGCATAGAAGGCGTGTGAGTGATGAAAAAGAAAGGAAACCAGGAAACTGACACTATAATGCAGCGTCTGAATCCAAGTGGTAAAAAATAGAATCATGAAACTAACACTGCGTTGCAATATCTGACCCGTATTAACCCATTCCAAAATATGAAAAATATGAGAAAGGGGCTGTCAATTGAAGTAGGTGCCAATTGTAATGGTAGATTCTATAATTTTTGTTTATTTAAAATGTATTTAAATGTCACAATACATGATTAACCTATTTATAATTAACATAAATATTGTTGATCTATTTTCAATATGGTAACTTTGTATTGATTTTATACAAGACCACCCTATTTTAAAACCACCATCAAATCATTGCATATATATAATAATTCATAGATTTATCTACTGCTTTATCTTTGCCTTTTTTTTGGGATTTTTCATGTCAACTAGATCAACCAGTCATGTGTAAATACAACTAGGATTTACCTTTGGCATTTTAGGGTTCTTTTGGCTCAAATTACAGGTAATTCATGTATGTACGTATGCAACCAAAAGAAATGGGGTTTTATGGAATTTCAAAATCTCAATTCTAAAACATAAAATAACAAAAATGTTACAATCAATTTTTATTTTATTAAGTGGAATCAAATGTATAAATTATATACCACCATTACTCTCGGATTTGCGCATAAGTCTAAAATAGAAACCAACAATTTGATTTAGACTTATACTGTTCTATGAATTAATTTTTATCAATTTTATGAGAGATAAACAGTAGGAGTAGGGGTGTATATTTAATGGGAACTTTAACGAAAAGCACCCGGTACTGTTCACTTTAACGAAAAACCACATTTTTACACTAAAAAGTCAATCATGGTACTATTCACTTTACCCTTTATTTTGTCCTTATCATTAAAACTCAAAGTTTTCAAGCCCTTTTCATTAGTTTTCCTTATATTTAATGCATATGAAAGAAAATATAAAATAAGATTCATGGGAAAGGTGCAGAAGAGAAGGAAGAGGCCAGATGGTCTTTGGACTGTGGAAGGATCGTTGGTCATTTTTGTGCCTCAATTTTATGTATGGGACATACCGTGGACACACAGTCACTTTGTCCCCCCCCCCCCCCCGGCGGGCATTACGTGGTTTAAGCAAAGCCTTTTATCATCCCCTTCCTTTCTTCCCCTCGTGCCTTTGCCATGCTTTCTCAACCTCTCTTGAGCTCATAACACAACTATGAAACTACGTGTGAGAGGGAGAGAGAGAGATCTTAATTGATTTTAATATCAAAAGTAGCTTTGAAAAATGCATCACACATTAAATATTACGAAAAAGACTGAATCCATAATTTAACAATTATTTATCTAACTATTTAATATCAACACATTATCACTATCTATGTATGATTCATATTATTGATACCACAAATGTTTCGACCACATAAAATTGATATATTATTGATATGTTTGTCAATGAAAATCTTCACGACAATTAACCTAAGGAGCTGAATGATTTTCGCGCTACTTTTTTTCTCCCAAAACAATTAATCAGAATTGAAAAGACAAAGTCACTATTTAATACTTGGTAGCAACATGCGTGCTATTGAAAATGGTGTGGGTGAATAAACGACATGCCGTGTGACAATCTAATACGACCCGAGTGAGCTGAGCGCGCCAAATCAAACCACCCGTTTATACAGCAGACCTCCTCCCTCACACTCCTCAGTCCCAAACCACCGCAGCGATTCCACTTCCTCCGCCATGGGAAAGCAAAAGCAGCAAGTTATTTCCCGCTTCTTCGCTCCCAAACCCAAAACCCCAGACCCCTCATCTCCTTCCTCCTCCTCATTTCCTCCCTCATCGCCGCCGTCAAACCCTAAAGACCCACCCACCCCACCTCCCAAAATCACAGCCACAGTCGCCTTCTCTCCCGCCAAACGCGCCCTCATCTCCTCCCACCTCGCCGTCTCTTCCTCTCCCAAACCAGCCAAACTCCCCAAACTCTCTCCTCACACCCACAACCCCATACCCGCCGCAGCCAATCCCTCCCTCCACCAAAAATTCCTCCAGAAGCTTCTAGAACCCGCCTCCGACGTTCCAGAACCTCCCCCTTCCTCCAACCAACCCGCCAAGTTCACGCCTTTGGAGCAGCAGGTGGTGGAATTGAAGAAGCGCCACCCGGATGTTCTTCTGATGGTGGAAGTCGGTTACAAGTACCGGTTTTTCGGCGAAGACGCCGAAATTGCTGCGAGGGTTTTGGGGATTTATGCCCACATGGATCACAATTTCTTGACCGCAAGTGTCCCAACCTTCCGGTTGAATGTCCACGTCAGGAGGCTGGTGGGTGCCGGGTATAAGGTCGGCGTGGTGAAGCAGACCGAAACCGCCGCCATTAAGGCACATGGGTCGAACCGAGCCGGTCCATTTGACCGTGGATTGTCGGCATTGTACACGAAGGCGACTCTGGAGGCGGCGGAGGATGTGGGGGGAAAAGAGGAGGGCTGTGGTGGGGATAGTAATTATTTGGCTTGTGTTGTGGACAAGAGCGTTTCAGTGGAAAATGTGGATGGTGGAGTTGAGAGCGGTGTGGAAGTGAAAATTGGAATTGTGGCAGTGGAGGTTTCGACGGGCGACGTTGTCTATGGAGAGTTTGATGATAATTTTATGAGGAGTGGGCTTGAGGCTGTGGTTTTGAGCTTGTCACCTGCTGAGTTGCTTCTTGGGGAGCCACTCTCCAAACAAACAGATAAGGTATTTTCCATGTAGGTGTTTTTGAATATTACGATTCTTGTTAGAGAATTAAGTTATTTAGTTCCTGAAAAATGATGGAAGTTTGTAACTTGGAAGCATGATCATCCCAATCAAGTTAGAGGTAGGTGAAAACCTTCGAATTTAGAATGGTAATCCAAGATTTCAAGCATTTGAAGGAAGTTTCCAGCTTGCATTACGAAGTTCGGCTGATGTTACTGCTTGATTCTTGTCACTAGATGTTACTTGCTTTTTCTGGACCGGCTTCAAATGTCCGCGTGGAGCGTGTCTCACGAGATTGCTTCAAGGACAGTGGTGCTTTCGCTGAAGTAATGTCTTTATATGAAAACATGGAGGGTGGTGATTTAACAGATCATTCAAAGGTAAATACAGATGTGAAAGAACAGAGTAATAAGCACTTGGGAATTGAGGTACGATATTTGTGATATTTTATCGTCATTAAGACCCAAATTTTTGTTTCTTGTCATTCATTTTTTGTTTTAACTCTATTTTCTTTTCATTTTGTTCTAAAGGGATTCATGAACATGCCAAATATGGCAGTCCAAGCATTGGCCCTGACTATTTATCATCTGAAACAATTTGGTTTGCAAAGGATCCTGCGCCTAGGAGCTTCTTTTAGGCCCCTCTCAAGCAGCATGGAGATGACTCTCTCGGCCAATGCACTTCAGCAATTGGAGGTATCTGACTCTGTTTTTGGGTTGTGCTCAAAGAAATTTGCTTTAAGGAATTAATCCCCA